GGAGATAACGAACAGTATTCAAGCTCCATTTAAATAATACCAATATTTAGCAGAGCAAACCGGATCTCCAAAAACATCAGAGGTTGGATCAGGTGCCATGGAGGAGTAAGAATCCCCTGCCGACCGGTCATACCCGCCGTGTGCTCCTTGTCATGATTGGGAAAAAAGGAAAAATCCGTCGACAATTCAGTGTGTAAATAATCGCCTAACAATTAGTATGAAAAACGTCAGTCAGCATATGACTTAATGATAGGTTGTATTTGCTGACAAGGTCGTTGTATCGACCATAAATCTTGCGAAATGGTCAATTCAAACGAGACTATTGATATCTTTGTTTCATCAACTTGTTTGTTGATAGCTTGCCTCGATTTGGAAATTGTTTATACGTAGAGCACGCTCTTTCGTATCCAATCAACTGGGAGACAAAAACCCCATAAGCAGGTGATACTAATATATTGCTACATAAGTAAGGGGAGTTGACGATTGAAAAATTGAAGTCATCATATTTACCATAAAGCTTTGTTGTTAGGTTACTATTATAAAGTTTTTTTCTAGTAAAATATCCAGATATGAAACAGATGTGTCAGACTCTGTAGTATCTTTTATTTCAAGATCACTGGAATATATTGCGTCGACATATGAATGGAATTAACTATTGTCAATTGATAATACGTGGTCGTTATATCTAAATGTCGAGTTAAGGCCACAGCAAGTGTTTTCTTCTTCTCATGTAGACGTTTTTGAATGAATTCTGCTTCATATGAATCCTAAAATAGGTCTGAATTCGAATGTTTTTAATAAAATGATTTTGCAAATGACCATTGGCAAGGTAAGTATATTCACGAGTTCCATTTTTATTTAAAAAGCAGCTGCCTGTGATATCAAAAAGTCTGGAGTTTAATTTATCCTGGGGAATGGTTGTATAAAGTGTTGAAAACGTTTTGATGTAACTGATTTCGTAAAATTTTGTGATTTCAAATTTACTTAGAAGTTTCTTGGAGTTACTTCTCGAACATACTGTTGTACCGTACTCCTGAACTTTCTCCTTCACTGCTGAGGCTTGGTAGAACATTTACATGAACCTGCTATGTATCTTTGTTTGTAAGGATTTTTATGAAATTGTGGAATCCAGTATAGGTATGGTAATTCACATTCATTTTGATCGTTTGGAATATTAAAAAAAATATTTAAAACTATTACCATTTGCAGTTCTTAAACTAAAAGTAGGAAAGTCTCAAATAAACTTAAACTTCGCAAACTCAATAGAATTTAAAGATACATGTATATGACAATACAAGTTGAATCCTCGAGATCGTCACGTGAAATTTCTGAAATACACACTGTGTTTCCTTCTATTTAGTAGTAATCTTAGTCTATTAATAATAATGATTATAACAAATAATGGTTGCATTACATGAATTACTGCCCATTATATATGATTTACACAATGAAACAAAAGCATCACGTTCCCACACTTCCTTATCCATGCAATGTTGGTAATTTTTATAAGGACTTCAATTATGTAACTGCAATAGCTCTTTTGTTGGCGGAGTATAAAAGAGTACCCGGAAATTACAAGGTTAGTTGTTCCTTATCTTTACTTTTTTCATTGAAATCAAATTTATCATGATTAGTTCCATTTTTTACTGTAAACACGCTGCGAGGTATCTCCAAGATGAGCTTCTTTTGTAAAACAAGATGAGGTACCTCCCAGGTGAGCTATTATTTGTGTTTATTACCTAGGTTTCCTGGTTTGGCTAGATAATTATAGGTGATTGATAAAAATATCGAAACTTTACCAAACGGAAGTTAGCTCGTCTTAGTACAACGTGCTAGTTTATTACATGGCAACCTGAGTTCGATCCCATAAACTTTGAATATTTTCAGTTATGTGCTTTTGTTCCAGGTAAGAAATTCCAATCCTGATTTTTTTTTTTTACTAATATATACTAATACTAATATACTAATGTATATCTATCGGCAAAAGTCTATATCAGAGGGCACTTCTTTTTGCAGTTGTAATATAACATTTCAACTTTTTTCATTGCATATATTCAATTTCATTGGATAACAATTTTCATACCTTATACGGTTTTGAAGACGTTAAATTTCTTTCTTTTGGATTACTTGTAAGATTCGCCCTATCTTTGATATATATACGGTTTTTGACTTCATGTGGGCTTGAACCTTGTATTTTGAATCTGATTTACCCATTGATTGAAACATATACATGTACATGTATAGCTTTATTTTTAAACTCCAATTTCAAAATTTATGTTTTATTACTAAATCTGTATGAATTCGTACAAAGTTCTCTACAAAAAAAATCGTTTGATGTTTTATGAAGCCCCTTATTTTTATTTCCCTCATCATGATCCGTAATAATTGCTTATAGTTGAAAATGTCATCAAACTATGTCACTGCCTAATACTTCCGTATACCATCTCAACGTAAACAATACAGCCAATCAACAATAATAAACAGGAAACAATTTCATATGTTCCGCATTTTCAACTACACCGGGTCGCTCTGGCACAAGAGTCAAGCACACATGACAAGCGATGTTGGAGATTTCTGCAATTTAATTATTAAAAACAAGTTTATTTCCCGAAAATAATCAATTGGAGATATTTTTTAAAAAACAAATAATGCCTCAATATCATAAACTTTGGCCATCCCATTTCGCCTCGCATACTTATATGTAACAGAATTCTTCCTTTAAACCGTTATAAAGAACAGGCAGTATCGTGCATTTAAAAAAAACGATATTATTATACATAACATATCAACATACTAGTAATAGCACAATATCCTTATTGATGCATATCTGTTTAAGACCGCCCAGATTGGCCCTTACCAACACCTTACCCTTTATAATCCCAAAATGCACACGAGTACCACGTATTTAAAAAGATTAAGAGGTCTGAGGATAAATGAAATATTGAGATAACGAACAGTATTCAAGCTCAAAGTCCATTCAAACAATACAAATCGGGAGCAAAGCACACACGGACCTCCAAAAACATCAGAAGTGGGATCAAGTGCCATGGAGGAGTGAGCATCCCCTGCCGACCAGTCACATCCGCCGTGTGCGCCCTGTTATGATCTGTAAATAACAGAAAAATCCGTGTGTAAATAATCGCCTAACAATTAGTATGAAAATCAATAGTCAGCCTATGACTTAATGACAGATTTTTTTGCTGAAAAGGTCATTGTATCGACCATAGAACTTATGAAATGATGACTTCAAACGAGAATGTATATATTCTTGTTTCATCAACTTGTTTGTCAATAATTGTGACAGTTTCAATGCGACAGATAGTATACATGCAAGTGAATAGATTCTTCTGTAGCAGTCTTGTTAATCAATCCAAAGAAACCCATATTCCGTTTACTGCCCATCCGCTTTCTTTGATTATAAAGAGTAAAATATTTTCAGGACTTACTTTTCTTCGTCTTCTTAGTTTTATGATAACTACCCATTGAACTCCCTTTTGATGGATCCACTTATGATTATTACTTTATTATTTTAAATCTTTCTAAGGACACCAATCGAGTCAACGATTTTTCCCCTCGAAAGAGGATGTTGCTCTTCATTTGAACAAACTTGACCACCCATTGATGTTTCTTGGTTTTGAGTTGATATTGAGCCAGCGGTTCAAAAGATGAAAGTGGGAATATGAAAAGTTTACAGATGACACATAACATACAGGAAGATACCTCACATATTTAAAAATGAAATTATTCTTATAGAGGCAAGAGAGATTATTCTTGACCAATGTCATTCTCACAACGTCAGGGGTCCTGAGCCTACTCGTGGTAGTGGAAAAGCTGGCAAACTTCATTCGATTTTTAACGGGCTGACTGGAGCGACGTCTCTCGGAGAAAATTACAAATACTGATTGTTTTTCTTATCGCTCGACCAATCACATTAAGCCTCTTGATGACAACTAACATTTAACACGTGCACTGAGGTGTCAAACTGCTTACTTTCTGTTAACGTTTTCTGTCCAATTATGAAAGGCCCAACTTGATTGGTGCTTCTCAAAGAGGGAAGCAAGCCCGCAAAAAGTCAAATGAAGTTTGTCAGGAATCCCACGACCACGAGGAGACACAGGACCCTTGACGTTGTGAGGACCGATGCTTTTTGATGAATAACCACGAAGACGGTCGATACATTAATATATAACCTAGTTTATGATGAAAGTATCCCTTCCTCCGTCGTAGAGATAAAAAGAGTTATATTTTCCCTCACTTTGTTCGTCCGAATATAAATCGATAAAATGCTAAATGAATAAATGTCAACACACATTGTTAATAGGAACGCTGCTCGCTAGTGCTTTTATTCAATTATATACTAGTACACATAACCATTTATATATAATACAACTGTTTTGCCCAAATTCATTGCATCACTATCAGCCATAATTAGTCTCTATAAATCCTAGCGAGCGAGCTTAGAGTGCCGTGCTACCGCATGGCCTTACTATTTATACCGTATAACCATCAAACCACGTGACTTTGCAAAAGAACTTTTCGAACACACTACATATAACTATGCCGCACATAATTTTACACTAGAATGTTCCAAAGAACGCATGTGTCGCCTGCTTTGTATCTTCATTAAAGATGTAAATAAATCTAAGTGTAGTTAGCTATTTATTTACTTCTAGCAAGATAGTTCATGCAGAATAAATCATATTTTCCCCTCACGATTCTGAAATAAATGTTTAATATATATGTGTGTGTATCATAGGAACGCATGCGTTTTTACCATGTTGAAACTGAAATCGTGGTCACATACAATAACCATTTAAAAATATACAGCTTTTATCCTCACGAAAACATTTATCAAGAAATTTCCTAAGTATAAATACTCTTATTGTTCTTTCCAGATCAACTGAATTGAATTAGGACTTTACTTTGGATCAGAGGCCCGAGTCATAACATTTAGATACAAGCCCAATTCAGCAATACCTCATCTCAGGTTACTGGGTAACCAACAAAAGTAAAGAATGATTGAGGTTTTGTATTTTATAATTCTCCTATCCATTGTCGAGTTGCTGCCTCAGAACCCCTGCGAGAATAAAGATAACTGCACTTATAAATCGTTAAACAAGATACTCTTTGACGTAGACTGTTCGAATAAAGGGTTAACAGAGTTACCTTCTAACCTTATAAACAACGGTACGCTGTACAGCATTGATTTATCACAAAACCAATTACAAAATGTCTCGATACCTGAATACTATTCTATTACTTTAAAACATCTCAATTTATCTTACAATAACATAAGCGAGCTTGGGAATCAATCGTTCAAGTCAATTCCTTACTTGGAGACGTTGGATTTATCCAACAACAGATTGAGTTTTGACAAGAAGAGCCTTCCAAGAAACGTGTTTCAATATCTGTGGAATCTTCAGGAATTAAATCTTTCACACAACAATTTTGATACAGCAAAAAACTATAACGCAGAACTTTTTCGACATAGTCCATCTCTTAAAACGTTGGCAATTGATGGTGTTAAAGAAGGAAACTTCAGTTTCAAAGTTTGCAAGGAATTTGAATTTGAAAACCCCCAAATATGTAAAGGTGGTAAATTGAAAAAAATAAATGTAAGTATCACGAGATTAATTGTCTCTGGGAGAGAAAATGCTAAATACTGTCTCATCGAGCACCTGACTGATGACTTCTTCGAAAGTTTTCCTAGCCTTGAATACATAGACCTCTCTGGATGTTCCATAAGGTCAGTCAGCAAAAAAACGTTTTCTACTTTGGTAAACTTAAACTATCTGGACCTATCCTACAACGACAAACTGTCCTTCCATTCACTCCCAAACATCTCTGAACATTTCATAAACATGCGTCATTTAAAGACATTAAAATTAGACAAAATACATTGCACTTTCGGGATGGGAACATATTTAACTGTAGACATCGTAAAAAACTTAGCTAATAGCTCGATTAAAAATCTCGCCATAGCAAGCAATAGGTTGGAGATGGCAGAGTACAACACTCCCCTCTATCTGCCACCAAATCTCGAGTTCTTAAATCTCTCCGATAACAAACTAACATTTGGAAAGTATGTTTATCAAATGAAAGCCATGAAAAACGTGCAGAGAATTGATTTGAGTAAACAGCATGCCACACATTTTACCGGAGCGCCGACTGATTTTCAGGAATGCAAAAACAAGCCATTATGTCCTTACTCCATTCCCAGAATAAGTTATTGGAAGTCTCAGTCAGGGGAATGGTCTCTCCCTCCACAGTTAGAAAGTGTGGATTATAGTAGGGCCTCTCTGCATTGGGCGATTGGTAAAATTGTAGTCAACAGAAATAACTCGGTGAAAGAGATCTCCTTAAACAGGAATTTTTTTGAGAATCTTACAGGACCGATCTTTGGACTAGACAAAGTTGAAAAGATTGATTTCTCTTATAATTTCATATCAACATTGTCCACTTACTTCTTTGAAAAATTCCCTAATTTGAAATCACTTACTCTAAGAAAAAACTTACTTGGGAAGTGTATAAATACTAACAACTCAGCTTATTTTCGAAATTCAACGAATCTAAAACAATTGGATCTTTCCCAAAATATGATAAGGCACCTGCCCACGCAGACTTTTGATGGACTCATTTCTCTGGAAATATTGAATCTAAGTTCTAACTTATTGAGAGAATTTTCTCTCAATGAAGGCCAACTTGGCTCTCTAAAAGTCTTAGATCTGTCCAACAATGAATTGTCATCATTTTCCGACACGGCAAAAATGGCGCTGGAATCAATGCAGATAAATCATCCTGTGAACATCAGCTTGAAAGGTAATGATCTCCGATGTTCCTGTGATTCTCTGGATCTACTCAAGTGGATATTGAAATCGAAAATAAGATTTGTGGACAGAGATTCATACACCTGCCCTCATAAGAATTTAAGCGACCTAGAATTAATCGTCAAGACGCTTGTGAAAAATTGTGATAATTACGAGGAGCTAATCGGCGTTCTCTCTGCTTTCTATGTCGTCTTTACGATATTCATAGTTGGGGGAATTCTTTATCGTTATCGTTGGAAACTTCGATACATCTACTACATGTCAAAATGGAGTCTTCCCGCGTCACGAAAAACTGAGGATAAAAAATACGATTACGATGCTTTCGTTTCTCATGCTGACGAAGAAAGGGACTTCGTCACACAGGAAATGATATCAGAGTTAGAAATTACGTCACAACTGGTTTTATGTCTTCATGAGAGGGATTTCACTCCGGGGAAATCAATCGGTGAAAATATAACTAAGTCAATCTGTAACAGCAGATATATTCTGTGTGTTGTGACAGAAAATTTTTTGTCCTCGCATTGGTGTATGTATGAACTAGAAATGGCATTAACAGACAACAGGTATTCACGTGATAAACAGTCAGTGCTCCTCATAATGTACGGGGGGCTGCCAACTGAGAACTCCAAAATCAGATCATCCATACGCTTTATGTCATTGGTGGAAAAGAATGCTTATATTGAATATCCGAATGATGAGGGGAATAAAGCAGAATTTTGGAACTCTCTTAGAGCCATGTTACAGGAATAGACCATAATTGAGTGCTGGTACTGTGCAAAGATATGGGAAATATGGAAGTTTTTTGTTGTTGACATTATAATGTGATTCATTTAATGGATTTAACACCACCCCATTAAGCAAACTAAAGATGTGATGAATTGTTAAATTCTTATTTTTTTATTTCAAAGAAAATTGGTGATATATGTTCTTTAAAGAAAAGTCGATCATGCAATGCATGACGATAGCAATATTACATACATGTATATCTAAATAGAAACCTGAGAATCTGATAAGGACAGACTTTTTTGTTTAATTAGATGCAGAAGTTTTATTTATCAAGAATATGATGCAAATGCAATAATATTGGTAATGTGAAAGACAATGATTGCCTGACTCAGCTAAGTCTCATTTCTCCTTACAAATGAGTGTGTAAGTGAACCCTTTTACTGTTCGTTTTACTATTCCAGGAAATTCAAATATATAGTATACTCATTCACGTGCACTTCAAAATTTAGTCCATGTCACAAAGTCCTTCTTCAAAAGTTTTTCTATTTTTATGATTGATATATTGTGTGATTGAGTGCAGTCGATCATAGTTTAATTTTCCAAGTTTTTCGCAAATGTTACTAGATGTATTAATGTATAACACATAACACAACCGACTTTTGTATTTGTGATTATATAATGCTGTGTAGAAAAACAAGTTCTCTATACACTATATGTGAGCGAGAATATCTTGATCATACGAATAATTATTATTCAATAAACATCAATTTATATTACAATAAGTGAACTGCTGGAATATTTTTTTTTTGCCTTTAGTTTGCTGTTTTATCAAAAGGTTTAGTATTCATAGCCAATTTAGACGTTTATAGGCAAGTTTGTATGAAATCATTTAATCGAAGAACATAAAGTCTCGAATCCTTTAATGACCAGGGTATTTTCTCCGATTTTACCACATTTCTGAGGGAACTGATTTATAGTGTCAACTTGTTAAACTTAATATGGCTATTTAGCTAACTTTGATCTGCTTTCAAGCTCTGAAATGGAATGATGCGGATCGATCCCACGATAAAGTGGTTCTCTGCAATTTCTGAATAAACGTCAGAAAATTTTGTCGATAGTTAGTGAGTTAACGATGTTACATAGATTTTTCTGTAAGTGTTTGAGGCAATAAATAATCATTTTGAGTTTGTCTAATTGACTTTTATCAGAGCAGCAAAGTTTGCAAAAAGCCCTGGGAGTTTGGGAACAGGTAAGAATATTTATATACCCTTTTAAAAAAATTTGTAAGCGCAATTTATTTTTATTTATTTATTTATTTATTTTAAATAAATTCCCCTGAAAGTCTATTGAGAGTTAGATACTTTGATTGATTATCTTTTTAGTTTTATTTTTCTGTATATATCAAAATCTATATTATCCGTTCCAATCCATTTTAATCTTCACTCCATCCTTTGGATTTATTTCTGAGAGTTAATTGTCATATCAAGCCTTTCTTGAGAACAAGTATTTCTCACAAGTAATTGAAAGGAATGGTAAATAAATTTGGGTTACATTAAATAAACTCGATGGTGTACTTTATCTTCTATGATGCGACAATTTGGTTTTCTCCATTAGGACCAAATCAGAGAAAAAACACAGCCGTCATCACGTAAAGATTTATAAGTCTTATGTACAATCACTCTCCAATGGTTCCGTCAACGGTACATCAACAAGAACACAAGTTATTTGCTACAATTTTAATCAATCCTTTCAACATCTTTTGTAATAATTTTCGTTAAACACATCATTTCCTTTTTATTTTAGGTTTCAGTGATGAGGGAGGAATTTCGAATACTCCTTTTTGGACTTGTGTATGCTATCTTTGCTGAAGCAAAAATTAGAAATGGACAAAAATCACGTTTAAGAAATCAAGGTTCATGTCAGTTGGAGGTTACTTGTGATGGGGGCGTGTCTCTTCCACTTCGACTTCCACTGAGAGGCCCCCGTGGCCCCCCTGGTTCCCCAGGAGTAAAAGGGGACAGGGGCGAGAAAGGAGAAAGGGGTGAACCAGGGGTGCCCGGTGAGTCAGGTAAAATAATAATAAATTTATTAGTTCATGTAATGCAAACTGTTCATGACTTTGATTTAGAGGTATATCCGATCAGATATTTCAAAATTTGTACTAACATTCTCGGTAGGTTTTTTTATACAAGGATATAAATTCTGACTTTCCGTTTGATTTTCCGATATTGCCAAATGGCTGGGAGAATTAATTCTCAAATTAAGGGTTCCCTTTCCTTAACAAAACGTGTTCTTATTTCTTCATTGTGTTTGGTAAATGTATTCTTTCAAAGAAGCATCTACAGCGGTCGAGTCATGATGGACACTTAGTACATCCTTTCAGACTTATTTTATTGTTTATCATTAACATTATTCTATGTTAATTCGCAGTCCATCTAAATTCCCAAGCCCCTTATCGACTCAAGATCTCTCCGAAAATGTGTTCCTTAATTAATCTCACTGGTGTGGCCAAAAGTTGACAAATTTGAAAAAATTTCAAAAGGAGCTTTACACTTTAAAAGTCAGAATTTGTACATTGTCGTCGAAGTTTTACAATAAAAAAACAAAAAATTTGAAACGTTATTCACAATTGCTTTCCTTTAATGTTGTTAAATTCACTTTGAAATGTCAGTTTATAATGAATATTCATTAAATGAATGACGTAAATTTTGACCTGTCTAAAACTGCATTCTGGAGGCAGATTAACAGACATTAAAAAAGGAAACAGACATTGAAAACAAAACTTATTTCACGGAGATCTTAATATACTTGATATACACTATATCACTTCCATTTATATGACAATGTTACGTTAATCTATTCTATTTAGTTCAATGTAATCATTTTTGTCTTTTAAAAGAACTGGAGAATTCTGACATGTTGCTTACAGCTATTTCAATTTCAGGTAATGTCATGTTGGAAACGAGAGAACGTTTGGAGAGGGTGGCATTTTATACCGGTCTTAATGATAATATAAATGGGCTACAAGCAGACGAAGATGCCAAGTTTGAAAATGTCATTACAAACATTGGTGGTTGCTATAACTCAGAAACTGGTCGATTCCGGGCACCAGTTGACGGAGCGTACCAGTTTAATATCGCAGTAGCAGCGCAGGGAAAACACAAGGTAATGCCTGTATCAGAACGGAAAGGAAAGGGCTTTACATCCTATTATTTGGAATGTTATATAATTTGTCTGTTCAGTTTACTTGATTCATGCTCATGAAATACTTGGTGGAGGGACAGGTAATTCGGAGGTTGAAGAGGCTGGGCGAAAAGGTGAAAGAGAGAGAGGGAGTAAGGGAGATACAAATGTAGAAGGATTGGTGGTATACTAAGAGGAAGAAGAGATGATGAGAGGGAAAGGGTACCACTTCTCCATTCTCATTCATAATTAATGCGTTATTAATCTTTTAAAACTTTTTGAAATAAAACTAATTATTTTATATAAAAATTATTATGTTATTGGTTTTTTTGTTTACAAACTGGTTAACATTTTACAAAGGAAATTTTTTTAAAATCTTATAGGCAGCTGTGGATCTGATGACGTCACATCCTCTATTATTACAACTAAACAGAACACAGCCAGTGCCACAAGTGTTGAAACTAGGGAAAGACTCGATAGAACCTCCCCACGAACAAATGGTTATGAGAGTTTGGGCGGAGAGTCTACCACTGTGGTCAACAGCAACCAACACCGCCATCTTGAGACTGCGCCGAGGACAACAAGTCTGGCTGCGCATACTCCAAAGAGCATCCTTTCTCCATGGTTATATGTATTCGTCTTTCTCCGGAACTATATTATTTTCAACTGAGTTGTAAATCAAACACTGCATATTTATCATGAAATTTGATTCAAGAGATTTTTAAATGTATGAAATTTCTTACAAGTTGACTAGTTCCACGTGTAGTTCTTTTTTAATATAAATAATACTAACGAAAAGAAACTCTTTTTGGTTGATATCCCAAGTTAATGCAAGGGATTATGAACTTCGTCTTAGTTGATATCAACATTTAATCCTAAAGATAAAAGGGCTCGTTCTAGTTGATATCTACAATTAATACTAGGGATAAGAAATCTTGTTCTTCTTGACATCCAGCTATTACTATAGAGAGGAGTCTAGTTCTAGCTGATATCAACAGTTAATACTTCAAATAAGGGGACTGGTTCTTTTTGATTACTAGTATATACTACAATCAATACTAAATAGAATTATGGAGATAACGAACAGTATCCAAGCTCAAAGTCCATTAAAACAATACAAATCGAGAGCAGAGCAAACACGGATCTCTAAAAACCTCAGAGGCGGTGCCATAGGGGAGTGAGCATAACCTGCGGACCGGTCACACCCGTCGTGTGCTCCTTGTCATAATCGGGAAAAATCTGTAAATAATTCAGTGTGTAATAATGGCCTAACAATTAGTTGGAAAAATGTCAGTCAGCATTTGACTTAATGATAGATTGTATTTGCTGGCAAGGTCATTGTATCGATCATAGAACTTACGAGATGATGACTTCAAACGAGACTGTTGATATCCTTGTTTCATCAACTTGTTTGTCAATAGCTTGTTCCATTTTAGAAATTGTTCATACGTAAAGCACGCTCCTGCGTATCGAATCAACTGGGAGACAAAGGTATATTTCTACATAATAAGTAAGGGATGTTGACGATAGAAAAATTGAAGACATCACATCTATCATAAAGCGTGGTTGTTAGGTTACCATTAAAGTCTTTTTCTAGTAAAATATCCAAATATGAAACAGATATGTCTGACTGTGGAATCTTTTATTTCAAGCTCACTGTGATATATCGAGTAGACATATGAATGGAAGTAACTATTGTTAATTGCTACGTCGTCGATACATCTAAATGTCGAGTTGAAGAGCACAGCAAGTGTTTTCTTCTCATGTAGAATAAATTTTGATTCATATGAATACAAAAAATAGGTCTGCTAATGGCTGGGGGGGGGGGGGCGCAATTGGTACAGTTTGTTGGAAGACCTGGTCTCCAAAAACTGGATTGCCACTTGAAGAGTTAAATCCTAGTTCCTCTAAAATAAAATTCAAATAATGAGCCTTACAAGCAAAGACAATGTTGTTACCTGCTTTGTCAGCGGGGACCAGTACATACTGATCGTGTAATCTATCTAATTCTAGATCTTATTTCACTTTTTCATTGTCAAAGACAGAGGGATAGATCGCTTTCATATTGCCCCTTAATCGCTCAATGCGCCATTTCAACAATCACCTGATACTAGTACATTTAATCCATTCTGACAAAGTGGCAAATGGAAGGAGTCTGATTTCAGTTGATATAGATATCAACAGTTATTTTGATATCCAACATAAAGAGTTTTGTCTCAGTTGATATCCAATCTCCTCAAAATGGGTATGTCACGGCAAAAGAGAGAAAGACATGCATGACCTTAACACAAGAGACGCACCAAATTAACGCAACCAACTTTCCTATGAAAACTTCAGTAAATTTGCTTCATTGGAACATTTTCAGTAAAATTTGAGGCAACGATATCTTTATATTTAATTGTCTCCACAATTTTGAATATTCCAGAGTGACGTGACATTTTTTATCCCTGTGTCTTTGTGATATTTGAATTATTCCACTGATAAGGAGAACACCATGTATAAAATCGTTCATTTTAATAATCCCAATAACATTTTCTAAATCCATAAAATACGAAGGTTTATCGACAATAACGCTTCAGATCCACAGAACCACGTGTTACAAAGAAACTCCCTATTTTTGATATCCACTCTCATACTAGTATATTTGTCTCAAAGGGAAGAGATAAATTTTGTTTTGGATTATCTTGGTAGAAATTAAAGCATATTGCATATAGATATGCGCATGCTCATACAATCTGCAAAATCGGATAAATTGATTTTCAACGATGACAAAGGTACGCTGCTCGTGAAATCGGCTTAGGAAGGTAGTTTCTGTAACATGCTGCCCTGTCTGTATTGACTACAAAGTCCTTATCGTACTGTACTGTGCACCATGTTGGTAAGTACTTAATATTTTACTATAGTATGAATTTGTCTTTTATATAAAATTCAAAAGAATAAAAAGAATATTTATTATTGATTTCGAGTAATTAAAATTGATTTCAGAATTTTGACTTTTTTTCGTCACATTACGGATATTAAGGATATGTAGATTCGGTTTAATATTTCAAAACTCCCCCAGTTGATTTCTAGGGAAATCATTACGAGTCAACGATATTGCATTTAGATCAGAATTTTCATTTCAAAATTTGTACATGACACCATCTGGAAATGACAAGAAATGTTTGTTTTTTTTACTTTCAGAGGTCAAAGAGATTCCTTCTCCCACTCTGTACAGTAATATTGGTAGTTCTTCTATTTCTGGAAGTACTTCTACAACTGCCTTTTGACCGTAAGTGTTTTGACTGTGTGGATTTATCAATGCTTTGTCGTTGTTTTGTGCACCATTAACACCTGTAAGATAACGTTTTCAGTATGTATTGTCCTTCTACCAGTACAGTGTGCGTCTTAATCGAGGTCACAAAACCAGAGTATACGGTATATTGTATGTTTTTGCTTAAATCGTTTACCCAAAATCCACCTGAACCTGAACACGTATAAAGCTTTTTTTTAATAAGATATATCCGCATCTTTTATAAACAACTTTCTCTTATTTTTTAAAATCTGAATCTCATTTATTTTAAGAAACATACTTAAATTCATCATAATAAGGTAACTAAGGCAAGTCGTTTTGTTTGTTTGTTTGTTTTTAAGCAAAGAGAAAGAGGTTGACTAGCCAACGACCTCTCCCCCTCCTCATTCTATGTGCAGCGCACAACAATGACTTCTTATAGCTATGATTCACTCTCTATACTTTTTATACTATTTTTTAACAGTATAAAATATATTTTCATGTATATTACAGGGTACAAATTCAATAGACGCTCTAGAAGGAATAAATACAAGACAGAAAAATAACAAGTTTGTGCTAGTATTTTATTATGCTTTGGTAAGCTAGCGTCCCATAACTTTCTAAATAGATGTTTGAAATGTTTCGCTGAATTCCCAAAGAAAGTTTATCGGTTAATTATTTTTTCTTTTACTAAAATTTTAAATACGGCAGCATAATAATTACATGACAAGTTGATGATTATTTTGATGATAGACGATATACTTGTGTTCAGGTGACTCTCATTTTGATTTGCTCAAGCCTCGATCATTTGAAATTCTTGATTGTCTGGACCCTGAGGTCCACGAAGAAAACATGTTAAGCGAGGATGATAAACTGGATGCTATGGGGGAAACTAAGATTGCACATGCCTCAGAATGCAGTACAGTTCGCTCATTAGTTCTACTGATCTCTTGAATAAATTTATTTTTCACCTTAAATTGAAATTATAGTAACTACAGAATGCTTAAAACACAGTTAATGACTTATGTCATTGCCGACTTAAAGCCCAATCCATTCTAAATTGAGATCCCCAGTCCCCCAACACAACCCCCAGTACACCACTGTGTCTTCCTGTTAGTAATTAATCAATATAGAAAATTAAATCAATGTTTCAGATATCTACTTCTGTGTTTTACGATGGCTACAACACTAGCTCACCTATCTTTTCAATACAAGATAAGCTTGTTCAAGCAAAATTACCCGAGTCTCGATCGTCTTGTCATTTACAGTATGTCTGAATTGAGTCTTGATAATTGGGAATTTAGCTTATCCTTGTAAGTTTGCAAATGAAAATCGGTTTACATTAAGTGGGGTAACTTTTTTGTTAGCGTATCCTGTTTTTCGTCGTCGCCCAGGGAAACGGCTGGTTCTGGTGCTAACCTACCTTCGCAGTGGATCTACCTTGACCGGCGATATTCTTCAGCAATCTCCGCAAGCTTTTTACTTGTACGAGCCCTTGAAATTGTATAAGTCCAAAATATTCCTGGATGGCCAAGCTTGCGAAACAGCCGTGATGAACTGTTCGTAGGTATTTATGATAAAATCAACTACAAGTATTGAATTCAATGTCCAACCAAAAGGCTCTGAGTAATTGATTTGGAACACAACTATGTTGAAACCTTTACATTTTAAAACAAATCGAATAAAATTAAAAGTAATAAAATATAATGCTTATTGCAGGCAATTTAACACCAGTGAAATTTTAGAGGTTTTTGGCGATCTCTTCCGCTGTCGTCTGCAAGAACATAAGCGAAATATTCTTGGTCCGCGAAAGCACAGTTTGGCGGTAATGAGTGCGATTCCTTACTGCAAGTCAAGACCAGGTTTCGACACGTGTATGAAGATGGTACAGGCAATTTGTCACCATTCTAATGCAATAATTGTCAAAACTATCCGGTTGTCTATGGAATTTGTTCCTCGCCTTTTGTTGAAGTTCCCGGATCTTCGTATTATTCACTTACTGAGAGATCCTCGTGGAACCATGGACTCCAGGAAACGGGGCGGATATTTACGAAAAATAAAAATTAGTTCGAGTGCTAAATGGTTGTGTGAACGAATCCAGACAGACGTAGAATATTCAAAAGTTCTGCAAAGACGGTTTCCTAACCGCATCATTACAGTGCTGTATGAGGAATTAGCTGAGAATCCAATAGATATGTCAAATAAATTATACAGAAATTTGAATTTAGAGTTCAGTGATAGCTTTGATGAATGGATTTTTAATCACACTTCCGCCGGAAACCCAAACGATTCTTTTTACGGAACAATTCGCTCGAACTCCACTCTAACATCTCAATCATGGAGAAAAAGATTGAAATTAAGGGATGTTCGACTGATTGAAGACGAGTGTAAAGATGTGCTTAATCTACTTGGTTTCAGAAAGGTTAATGACGAGGAGGATCTGAAAAATACTGACAAGAGTTTAAGATTACGTAGTTTATACACTTTGGAATAAGTGCTCTGGAGACTCACCATGTTTCTACTGTATGATTTCTTCTAATGTCCGGACGATTCCATAATGACCAACGCCAGGCACATTGTTTGCTCATATTGAGCTCTAAGGGTACAGTTCAATGATTGAGATTTCTTACTTAAATATTTCGACATAAAATCAAAAACTATCTCCGGAATGGACAGTAAAGCCTAAAGGTGGAGACTCATTCTGACGATCAAAAAGGAAACAAAAAATAAAACTAATAAATTAAAAGACGAATCAATTGATGAGAAGTTGGAATTCCATCTTCGCTAGCCAAGAGTCCGATTTGTATTATGAGGGGACACGAATCGGACACTTGGCTGGTGAAAAACGGGGGAAATCATGAATGTATAAAGTTCATCCCTCTTCCAGTGAGGACTATGTTTCAGTACATCAAAATGAGGGTCGGGGTTTTTTTTATGGGCACATATGAAATATTCAATGTCTTTGAACGTTCTGCAACAGTGTGATAATATGTCGAGAAGTATAGCAAAATGTAAAGCCTCAGGAGTGGTAAGCTACAAAAGGTCTCTTTTTTCTCATGACTTTTTTTTCAAGTCAGTCCTTTTCTTTTCACAAATCAGTTAAAATATTCACAGTAGCTTGATAAGCTTTTGAGCTTATGGAAATATATGGAAATAACGAACAGTATTCAAGCTCAAAAGTCCATTAAACAATACAAATCAGGAGCAGAGTAAACACGGACCTCTAAAACATCAGAGAGGTGGGATTAGGTGCCATGGAGGAGTGAGCATCCCGTGCCGACCGGTCACATACGCCGTGTGCTCCTTGTAATGATGGGGAAATAACGAAAAAATTCGCCGACAATTCAGTGTGTAAATAATGGCCTAACATTTGCCTTAATGATAGATTGTATTGTGCTAACAAGGTCATTGTATCGACCATAGAACTTACCAAATGATGACTTTAAACGAGACTGCTGATATTCTTGTTTCATCAACTTGTTTGTCAATAACCTACCTCGTTTTAGAAATTGGTCATACCTAGAGCATGCTCTTGCGTATCGAATCAACTGAGAGATATAAACCCAGTATGCAGGTGATAAAGGTATATTGCTGCATAAGTAAGGGAAGTTGACGATTGAAAAGTTAAAGTCATCACGTTTTTCATAAAGCTTTGTTTTTTTAATCACCATTAACGTCTTTTTCTAGTAAAATTTCCAAATATGAAACAGATGTGTCAGACTCTGTGGTATTTTTTTATTTCTAGCTCACCGGGATATATCATATCGACATAAGAATGGAAATAACCATTGTTAATTGACATACGTCGTTGATATATCTACATGTCGAGTTAAAGGCCACAGCAAGTGTTTTCTTCTTTTCACGCTTAAGATTTTGAACAAATTCTGCTTCATATGATACAAAAATAAGTCTGCTTATAACGGGGTGCAATTGATACCCATGGGAATTCCAATAGATTGTTGAAACACCTGGTCTCCAAAAACCACATAGATATTGTCAATCAGAAACTCAACCAAGCATCTTTTTAATATCAACTTCAGAGTACTTGTGTGTACAATCAGAATGTTTTTTAACAAAATCATTTTGCAAATAATCAATGACAAGGTAAGCAAATTTACGAGTTTCATTTTTAGTGAAAAAGCAGCTGTCAATGATGTCAAAAAGCTTGTACTTTAGTTAATAATTGTATATAAAGTTGAAAAATTGTAAGTTTTTATGTTGTTGATTTTGGTAAAATTTTGTGTTTTCAAATTTTCCAAAAGTTCCTTGGAATTTTTAAGTATCCATATCTGATTTACACCAATTCTCGAATATATTGTTGCACAGTACTCCTGAAGTTTCTCCTTCACTACTGTTAATATTTCAGCGAGGAGTAAAGAAAGAGGCTTGGTAGACCATTTACAGGGACCCGCCATGTATCTCTGTAAGGATTTTTATGAAGTTTCGGAGTCCAGTATAAATATGGTAATTCAAATTCATTTTGGTTGTTGGGAATATTGAAAATATTCAAAACTGACATATGATTTTGAAGAATTTCTTCCTTAGAAAGGGATATATGGGTATAAGTTGGATTACCACTTGTAGAATTAAATCCCAGTTCCTCTAAAATTCAATTTAAATAATGAGCCTTACAAACAAAGACAATGTTGTTACCTGCTTTGTCAGCAGGGACCAGTATATACTGATCGTGTAATCTATCTTATTCTTTTTTCACTTCTGAATTATTGAACACAGAAGGATAGTTGGTTGTCATTTTTGGCCCTCAATCGCTTAATGCGAGATTTTAACATATGTAGTGCTATGACACTGTTTTCCTTTCATATTTCTCAAACTGTCACATTCATTTCCCATCATTTATTTCCATCATTTATTTCCATCAACATAGGTAAAGGAAATGGTAAAGGAAAGGGAAAAGATTGACTACAGCAAAAAAAAATAAACAGAACTTACAATGCTGTACATTATATAAATATGACCGAAATGATGCACCATACGACTGACTGATAATACTGAATACAATAAATATGAATACTTTATGTAATAAACTAGTAATGCATGATGGTGTTGAATAATTTAAGTGAATAGAAATGTATAAATGACGTTAACATCTAACGTGTGAGAACGCTAATTTACATCATATACTCAAACTGAATATTAACCTTGTTTACTCCAAAAATACAGTATGCAAAAAGATATGAAGTTAACACTGCATTTATACAACCATAAAAAAGGTAATTACCGTGATTATTTTCCAACTCATCCAAAAATCTAAGGTAAAACAGCTCAAACTCACTACAGCTTTGGGTAAACATCGAAAAATCGTGCAAAAATGGCGGGTTCACACGTCAAGATTGAAAATTCATATTCTGACAAAATTGGATAAATAAATTGATCCGGATAAATTTGGACAATAATATAATATCAATCTTACACCGGCCCCTAAAATATGGTCCTACACAGAACATATTTTACAATTTTCCAATGAGCAATTAACATCTTTAAACATGTGAAACAATTTAGTCTCTGTCATCCGACTCCAACACAAGACACAGTTTCGTTATTGGACGTGTAAGAATATTGGACACAGTTTTCACTTTCATAACACGCACAATATTATGTCTGTCTTTTTGAACCTCCAGAAATCGTCCAAGATTCCAATAATTCCTTGGGCCATTTTCAACAATAACAGGGCGGAGAAACTACGTCATATAGGGTTATCGCTTAAGTTTTCAATGGCGGACTTTTCGAGCGCCTCGAGGTAAATTTTTCTTTCAATTTATCTAATTTTAAGTGAAGAGGTCAAAATAAGAATAAGAACCAAATCACCTTCTTTAACATTGCGTCCCTCCTTTAACCACATCTGCCTGCTCTGAAGAAGGGGTAGATACTCTTTAATCCATCTTCTCCAGAAGATGTCTGCGAGATATTGGATCTGGCGCCATCTACGTCGAACGTAGTTGTCCATCTGTGAAAAAGTTCCAGGTGGGCAAGTTTCTCCAGATCTAAGAAGTAGCAAATGGTTTGGTGTCAAAGCGCTTAGATCACTAGGGTTATCTGATGTGGGCGTCAAAGGTCTTCCATTGAGAATTGCTTCAACTTCACAGAACAAAGTTGTGAGTCCTTCATCGTTCAGATAAATAGTTTGTTCATGTAAAACGGAAAATATCACATTTCTTACGGATCTGATAAGTCGTTCCCAGACACCTCCGAAATGTGATGCTGATGGTGGGTTAAACATCCAATCTATCCCTGACTGCAACAAATGAGAATGAATTTGGTTAACGTTCCATGTCTTGATAGCTTCTCTTAATTCCTTTTCTGCACCCACTAAATTTGTACCATTGTCTGATCGGATAAATTTAGGTTTTCCTCTCCTTGCGATGAATCTGCGAATAGCATCAATACATGAATCTGTATCCAAAGAGAATGACACTTCAAGATGGACTGCTCGTGTATTAAGACAGGTAAATATTACACCATATCGTTTCACCATACTCCTTCCTCTCTTCAATTCAAATGGTCCAAAGTAGTCCATATCTACACGGGTGAATGGGGGATCATCTGTTTCCAATCTTTCAGAAGGTAGATTGGCCATTTTTTGGTGCATTGGAGGAGACTGGTATCGTCTGCATATAACACATTTTGAGATAAGCGATTTTAATACAGATGAAATACCGGGTATCCAAAACTTCTCTCGAATGACTGCTAAAGTAGCATTCTTGCCCATGTGTCCTGCAGATCTGTGGGCATCTATAGCAATCATCCTAGTCAGTGTGGAATTTTTTGGAATGATCATCTGATGCTTAGTGGTAAAAGATGCGTTTAGCTTTTCTAGTCTGCCCCCGACTTTGATGACTCCTTTATGTAAAATACCGGTAGGATCTAATCTAGAAAGCTGTGACGATTTTTTGACATATCCATGTTTGTCTCCAAGAATTTTCAATTCATTTGCATAATACTGCCTTTGCTCATATGCCACAAGTTCTCTTTCAGCTCTGTCGAGGATATCAGTACTGAGAAAAGGAATCGCTTTTGCCTTCTTGGACTCCTTTACTCTTGTTTCACTTTCCACTCTTTCAATCTGCATGATTCTCTCCTTTGAAGCTCCAGAGTCTATCATTTTTTCTCTTCTTTCTATTTTCTGCTTGACTATTTTTCTCAAGTTATCCTTGGCTTTCAAGAACCATCCAACCGTGACTTTAAGTCTTTTCCAATCTGAGAAATGCTGAAGAATTTTTTCAACACCATTGAAGGAAGACTGTATAAGGGTAGTGTTGATGCATTTTTTCACTTCCACGTCGTTAACCCCAATAGTAGTATCAGTGTCACAGTTCAAAAGCCAAGTAGATTCTGATTTCAGGAGGAATTCAGGTCCATGAAACCACAACTGATGATCTATGAATTTATGAATCACAGATATTCCTCTAGATGCACAGTCAGCAGGATTTTCTTTTGTGTTCACATAATGCCATTGATCAAAAGTTGTATGGGCGTTGATGATGGCAAGTCGATTGGTGACAAAGGTTTGGAATCTAGTCTTGGTGTTAGCGATGTAGCGAAGTACTGTTGTACTGTCTGTCCAGAAATGTATTTTCTCTTAGGAAAGTCTAATTGCTCGTCCACCAGTTTACTTAACTTGACGGCTAATGTTGCAGCGGTGAGTTCCATCCTAGGTATTGTCATTGTTTTCAATGGTGCCACTCTTGATTTGCCCATGACGCAGGAACAATGTACATTTCCATGATCATCAGACATGCGCAAATATATGACAACTCCCATGCCAAGTGTGCTTGCGTCCGCAAAACAATGTAACTGGTATAACACAGAATGTCCAATATTCCCTGGCTTGTAACATCTTTCAATTTTTACATCTTCCAGATGTTTCACTTGCATGAGCCAGCTGTTCCATTTCTTTAACATGGTTCCATCAATTTCATCATCCCATCTTACACCATCTTTACACAACTGTTGGAGTATGGATTTAGCTGTCAAAACAAATGGCGCTACAATGCCGAGTGGGTCATAAATGGAACTTGTCACAGAAAGTATGCCTCTTCTTGTTGTAGGATGGTTCTTTAACTGTATTTGAAACCCTAAGGAATCATCTTAATCAGCAATAAAAATCCTGAGTATCATTTTCCTTTGAAACTAACATGCTAACCACTACGCTACACAGCTCTTGATGAATTGTGGCATTTAAAACATGTTTGTGATCGAAGATAGGGTAGGTCTAACTGTACATTTAATACATATTGCACTTGTTAATTAATTCGGGAGAGGAAAAATAACTTCAAGACCAAAATTGGAATACTTTCAAATTTAGCACAAACATGTGCTTCAAAATAACAATGCAGATTCTGAAAAAGCTTTCATTTTAAGAAAAATGCACACTTAATCCAGGTCAATACTGAATAATGAAACCTTCAATGCTCTTTTTTAACATGTAAATTTAATCAATATATATTAATTTTTTGTCATTGTAAGTTAAAGCCTCTGTTTAATAAAAGAATTCTCAATACACAAATACTTATATATATATATATATATATATATATATATATATATATATATATATATATATATATATATATATATATATATATATATATATATATATATATATATATATATATATATATATTATTTAATCATGTTAGATATGTCGTTACGCGTAATGACCAGATTTTTACATGTTGGAGGTTGGCAAGTATGGTGAAAGGGGCCCTTTTTTCTGCAAACGCGAGGGCTTTGTCTCCATTCAGAACAATCATATATGCCCGATCACGATTTTTTTTCTGTACTATAAAATATCTTAAGGACATGGTACCTTTTTAAAATGGAAAAAAAAATACACAACACGCAATCTAGTACATGCTTAGTAGGAATGTTGTGAACTTCGTAATGGCGTACGGCGCCACCGAACAGTGTTGAAGAAATGTCATTTCTTGTACATGAGATTCACTGGAACAGATAGAATATTTATATACAGTTTATTAAAATAATGAAAAAGTTGAATTTAAAATTCTAATATTAATAAATATTTAAGAAGTCCAACTTTAGTTACTCGCTCTATTTAGTCGGAAGTCCTGAGGTGTCAACGGCTTCGTCTTTGATGTTCTCTCCTATAGTCAGCATATTTTCTTGGTTATTTCTCTCTGCTAGACGTTCAATCATAAAAGATTGACCGTCTATAACTGAAAGAATATCGTCGATGTCAAAATTTCCACCGACCTTATTGTGTAGTGTATATTATTTAACGTCAAAATCTATTTGATACATTTTTCTTACGATAAGCTTTACGAGTTCTAATTGACCATTGACACCTATGACGTTTCAGTACCACGTGACCCCTATCTAATTAGTGGAGATTTTTACTTCAAGAACTCCATATTACGGGCGTTTTATCGCCTAATTATGACTGTTTTCAAAGTTATTTCATATTTAAACGATAATTATATGTTTCAAGAATATAATAGTGTTTCATTTTTTAAATATTTAGATACGTGATAAAAACCCTTTAAATATACTTGAAGTGAGTATATAGGTCCCTGGTCCAGGGTCATATCACAAACATGATTCAAATGCCACAATTCATCAAGAGCTGTGTAGCGTAGTGGTAAGCGTGTTAGTCTCAAAGGAAAAATGATACTCAGGATTTTTATTGCTAGGGTTTGAACCTCACAAATACCATGAATACCACATTATTTTTTTAATACCAGAATTTTTGCCTAGAAAATTTTCCCCAGAAAACTTATCATAATTTCATAATTTTCAGTAATGAGAACTTTACTCTAAATACTAAAATTCACAAACTGAATATGATTTTATATAGGCATTCTGCACGCCTTGTTCACCCATCTCCTTTCTTGGTACTCCAAATGTACACGAAAAGTCAGATACATCTTAATTATGATATCCATTATGTGTTTTATCTCTATGGCTGGGCAATTCTTTGTGTCACTTATAAACTTTCCATCAGGTTACCATGGGTTAATTGTTTCATTACTATGGTAATACCACTAACATGATCCTATTTTATGTTTACCGTTACAGTAATTAGTTTACACTAAATATCAAAAAAACCATTTTTCACTGTGCTTTCTTTTAAGAAAAATCAAATATAACTTATCCCACTTGCATACAGTGACGACATAATTATATTGTTAGGCTTTTTAATGTCTGGAAAACAAATTTATTACGGTAAATTATTTAGGACAAAAACTAATTGTTTTCAAAAGTTTATTTGAAAGAAAACAAAAAATACCAAAAAACAATTACTACATTTCCTCTTCTAACACCACAATAATCTTCGCTATCCAAGGATTTACGATCTGCTCTGCTGACATTAACTTTGTAGGGAGCAGAGCGAACTGGATTCCCTTGGATAAGGAAGATGCACCATAATAAATTAACTGACAGACATGATTTATACATAAACATAATGAGGTCCTTCCAGGACATCCTCATGCAACGGAATCTCTCTGATTTCATTTTTTTTTGTTTTAAAAGAAGACATTTCAAAACGTACAAAGTACTAGAATCTAAAGTGTTCTGTGATAGAAATACTATTTTAAACACTATATACTTGGCTTGGTCATTATTACACATCAGTATAAGATTCTGGTCTACAACACCAACACCTGGCTGATTCAAATGAACATAATAGTTTTTGTTTTTCTTTCTGATTGGTTGTTAGAGCTGTTAAGAATTTTTCTGATTGGTTCCTACATTTGTTGGGTTGAGTTCCCATTCCATGTGGCATTTTCATCATCATCATCTCTCATGTCTGTCAACCTTCGGACATTTCCATCTGCACGGATTGGTCTCCTCTGGTAGGCCCTACAAGAGAGGGTTATCACATTACATGTACACAGGCCTGAATTGATTCAACATTACATACGTGGTTTAATAAAATTGGGGCAAATTTTTTCAGACATTAACATAAACTCCTTATCACTTTTTAGAGGGCTTTATTTGACTTCCATTCGCATTCTAAACTTCCTATGGTCTGAGAAAACATTCTTAAAAATTTAGGAAAGATGCATTTGACCCAATTCATACTAATGTATACATGTATTTGTGATCTGGTCCTTCTTTTAGATTAGAAATGAGATTCCCTTGGGGGAGGGGGGTAGTATCTCTTATTTATGTTTGTGGTCTGGCGCTTCTTTAAGATGAGGGCTGAGATACTCAGTGGGAAGGGTAGTATATTTTGAATTACTTACGTCTGTGGTCTGGGCCTTCTTTGAGATGAGGGCTGAGATTCCTCTGTGGCTGGAGGAGCATCCTCTGATTTTGCTTGTGATGGTCCACCAAACAGAAAAACTCGAATCATGTTCCACAAAAATAAAAATGGAGCCAAAATAAGAGCCAGAATTCCACCACCTGGGTTGCCTGGACTGGATATCACATTGGATTTTCGCTATAAAGATATTTCAAAGATGCTTTGAATAGTTATTTGTAAATACTGGATTTTGCAAAAAAAATTAACTTTGATACCCAAGAGTGTAACAATTAATGCATTGCCTGCACATATGTAAGAGTCATGGGAATTGAAATGGCTTGAGAATACTTTCTGGCATGGCTATTAACTCACAGAAAGAACCAAATTAAGAGAGAGCAGTGTCTGTGACATGTACTTACTGGCAATGTACTTACTGGCACAGCTATTAACACTGAGGAGGGAACCAGGTTAAGAGAGAGCAGTGTCTGTGAAATATACTTACCGGCACAGCTATTAACACTGAGGAGGGAACCAGGTTAAGAGAGAACAGTGTCTGTGAAATATACTTACTGGCACAGCTATTAACACTGAGGAGGGAACCAGATTAAGAGAAAGCAGTGTCTGTGAAAAATACTTACCGGCACAGCTATTAACACTGAGGAGGGAACCAGATTAAAAGAGAGCAATGTCTGTGAAATATACTTACCAGCAAAGCTATTAACACTGAGGAGAGAACCAGGTTAAGAGAGAACAGTGTCTGTGAAATATACTTACCGGCACAGCTATTAACACTGAGGAGGGAACCAGATTAAGAGAGAGCAGTGTCTGTGACATGTCATCTTGTGTAAAGATTCTCTTTGGATAGACAGTAGAAAGGGTAACATCAGCACCAATATGCTGCAAAACAGAAATCACAAAATATAACACAACTACACAAATATGTCCACTGACAAAACACAGCTCTCTTTTTTCTTCAATCTATGACATGTCTTCTTTAAATCCTGTACCAGTGAACTTACTCCTGAGACTACAGAATAAACACTCTGCAGTATATCAGAGGACGGGAATGTGTTGGATAAAGATGTTCCATCAGGAAGCCGCACCTGGATCCGAGCTGTCTCCCTACAAGGAAACAAATATATCAACAAATTAATAGAAAACTTCTTTCTTCAAAATGTTTATATGATCTTACAACATTATGTTAGTAAATGTAAACTTTCACTCAGGGATTTTTGTTTCTATTTTTTAATTAATCCTTTGGAGCTCACATTTTCTTGGCCTCCTCTTCCTGTGTGAGTTTTTGTCGGGCCGATATTTGTGCCTGTTTTTTCTCTTCTGCCGCCAGTTTCTGTTCCTGTGTCTCCTTTCTGAAGCGAGCTGCCCTCTCCTCCCTGAGAAAACAAGAAATTCTACACTCATAAAATACTGTAGATCCCCAAATTTTCGCAACACCTTATTTTCACAAGGTACGTATTTGGTATTTATAAGCGAGAAAAAATTTTTGTGAATGCTTGTTATTGCTGTATATATACTGTTATTGAAAATAGAAGTGAGAATGAAATTTTTGCAAGCAGACCATCTCAAGTAATTACATAGAAATAAAGTTCTCTGAATAAAAAGTGATTTACAGTTATTGCAAAGACATAAAAGGATCTGTAAACATAGGAATTGTGATAAACAATTTTTTTTTTCAAATAAAGAATAATATCCTTTTCTGAAGTCATGAATTTATTTTGCTATGCTACAAGCTCTTAGAGGCTGTTCAACATAGCAGATATTTAAAATAGTCTTGACAATAATTAAGTACATGTACACTGGGATCCAATAAAAGTCATTTACTACAATCCTTATAACCCTGGACTAATTCTTATGAAATAAATAGCCTCACAAAAACATGTAATGACAATTCAGATTGAATTTACAATTCTATTGATGCCAAAATAAGATTTAGTACATTTGTTACCCGATACCTACAATCCTCAACAACAGGTACCTGTTCCTTATTTCCCAAATTCTCTTAGCTACCTATTTGGGTAAAGCACATGTTCCCTAATTCCCTAATTCTTTTAGCTACCTTTTCCTTGATCCCCAAGCTATTCCTAGCTGTATGTTCCTTGATTACCAACATATTACAAGCTATTTGTTTCTCTGTTCCTTGCCATCTTTTTCTCTTATCACTACCTATTCCTAGCTATTTGTTAATTGAGTCTATATTTATTATCAACTTTCTGTTCTTTGATTCCCTACCTATTCCAAGCTTTGTTCCCTGTTTACTAGTTCTGTGATTTTCTACTTATCTCTAGCTACTTGTTCTTTTATTATAATCCATCCTTGGCTATCTTTTCAATGATTCTCTACCTATCCCTAGTACCAGAACAGAACATTTTATTTCTAATTGAGAGCCCAGAACAGACAAGTACCTGTTCTTTTATTATAACCCATCCTTGGTTATCTTTTCAGTGATTCTCTACCTACCTCTAGCTATCTGTTTTTTTTTTTTTAATTTTCCCTATCCATGGTTAACTGTTTTTTTATTCTCAAGCTACCCATTCTGTTATTTTAACCTATCATCAGTTGCCTGTTCCTTAATTCCGTACCTGTCTCTAACTTTCATTTTACCCTATCCTTGTTTAACTTTTTTTATTCCCTACCTATCTCTACTTATTCTGTTATTTGAACCTATCCTCAGTTGCCCGTTCCGCAATTCCGTACCTGTCTCTAGCTATCTGCTCCCTGATTTTGTCTCTTTGACGCTTCTCTTCAGCTTTTTCTTTCCTCATCTGCTCCACAGAATCCTTCAATTCCCTCTCCTTCTGAAATTCCTTTAGTTTCTGTAAATCTTTTCCAAGCTTCCGTCTTTCTTTTTCCTCTTCTTTCTCTTTCTGATATCAATCATATTACATGTATACATGTTAAAATAAACTCTCACAGGTGATCAAACAATACTTCCTCTTGTCCAGTTAATAATTTATACATATCATAATAATATACAGCTTTCCTAATCTTTTGACATCAAATTCAATTTTCTGTTACATAAATATTACTGATATATATAAGTATTACTGAAACATAGACATGTATATCACTGATACATATACATATTACTGATACACATAAATATTATATGTACTGTTACACCTGTAGATTTTCTCTACCTCTTTTTCAAGTTTCTCTTTTTCCTCTCTCTTCATTTCCATCTTCTCTTTAGCTCTGCAATATACATGTATCATCATGAATAATCATCTGTGTAATAGCCCCAATCTAGTTACAGTGGAACCTGTCTAATCTGTATCTTGTATAATCCGGAATGGTGTCTTATCCAGCCAATTTCTATGGAATCAGTGAGGTCTGGATTAGACAAGTTTAACTGTATCATTTTTCTCATTGGTATTCATAAAATAGGTAGGTAACATGAATTTATAGCGATGTGTTGATTTAAGCAGTTGCAATGTTAGATATTTTTGAAATGTACATATAGACGCTATTTAATTTGACTTGAGAGGAGACAGAGCTTGATTAATTAGTGTTCACAGGGTCTTTTCCTCTACTATAGGTTTAATTTAATACATATTATAATAGCTGTTCAGTTCTTTTTATATTTGTATGTACTTCTACAACCTTTTTGTTCTGATGAACTTTCAAAAAAAAAATTTTTTTAATTGAACATTTTTGTTTTCTTCCACTATTTTTTAAATTGTCCCAGAAACATGAAATGGTGCCAAGGTTGGGGAGCCCTGGTTTAAATAAATATCTTTCAATTTTATAATTATAACTTATTTCTTTCACTGAAACTTATTTCATCTCCAGTCTCTACAGTAATAAATGTCCTAATGATTACTGATTGCTCACTAATCACATGTGTTCACACTGACACATTCTTTCATCTATTCCAATTCTTTATTGGCAAGTTTTTCTCCTATGTGTCTATAATAAGTATGTTTACATGCTTTTGAAAACAGAATTACATTACATAACATAACATTAATCTTACTTTTGCACTCTTTCCTCCAGAGGTGGTTTTTCTATCTGTGCTGACTGTGTTGATGTGTTTGGTGCTGTGCTTGGTGCTGTGTTTGGTGCTGTGCTTTGTGCTGCAGATGTGTTGGGCTGTACCACTGCAGTTGGGGGGCCAGGCTGGGTTTCAGCCAACTGATCATTGTGTAACTACAAAAGATAAATGGCATCTTTCTTCAACATGTTTGTAGACACATATTTAGTCAAATTTTAATGGATAGAGATTACTGTAAAATCACTTATTTTCAACAGGGTTTAATTTTCCTTGCTTTTGTGGTATAATAACCCAAGAATTTATTACCTCCGTAGAATTTTGAATTTTGAAGAAGACTATCCTTTTCATGTTTTCAGCCATGAAATCAAATCCCTACGAACCCATATTTTTTCCCCAAACCACAAAAATTTGACAACACAAAATTAAGTGATTTTACAGTAAATTATTTTACACATTTTTTGTTCAATGAAATTGATCAAGACAATTCATGGTGTTCCCTTACAACTCGACATACCTTGATCACATTCTGAATGACTTGAATGAACTCCCCCTTCTCTTTGTGTCCTGCGGCCACCTCAATAGGAGCCCCATTGACCCCAATGAAATATGTAGAGGGCACAACCACAACAGGAACTTGTTTAGTTAAGGCTTGAAATTTTAACTAGCAATATAATTAATGCCAGTGACAGGAACTATATTTATATGTATGTCTATATGCCGAAAGAAATATTTCCCCCTTCTTATTTATAGGAAGTGTGGTTTTTCTGACTTCTAGGGAAACAGAATTTAGGCATGTGGAAAATAATTCAATATCTAATTCTAAGTTATTCTGATTTGCATAAAATGATCATTTTCACATTTAAGAACATAAAAATATATATTTAAATTGGGATTTTGATTCCATTAAAACAATAATCTACCTTCTTCATGTTAAATAAACTGAATTTTATGTGTGACAAATTAAATCAGGAGGGCTGTTTGTTTGTTCATTGGGGCATTCACTTAATTACTGGTGGAGTTAAAGGACATAAAATAACCTGTTTAAAGTTTGAGGGCCTTTACTTTGCCTGTGCTCCGGTGTCTACTATATTATATCATACAGAAAAATAACTTAATATAAAAATCAAAAAAGATACAGATCTGTGAAAAATGTCCACAAGCCTCACTGAAATAGAAGACAGTTATGTAATAGTCCTCTGGAATTTTGCTGTACATGCACTAGTTAGTGATATATTTTAACTCATAAGAAGAATTTCATGCCTTTAGAACTTTATCATCTTATTCAAATTTATTTGATTTGCCAATTTTGCTTATCATAATAAGCATAAATAACATGAATAATCAATGAACTTTATATTTCAGACCATTAAATTGTGATGTAACTTCAGTACATACAATCACAATCTATTTTAATTTTCTCAGATTAGTCTCTATACATAAAAAGACAAAGATTCCCTTTCTGTACTAAATTTTCTTTCACCTGTTTGCTGCCAGTTTTATAGCAACACTTCCACTACTATTGCACAATGTCAGAACTTCTGGATCATTCCACACTTTATCCATCTCTGTTGACATGTCATTTTGTCCTGTAAAATAATTTCTTATTCATTTGCTTTAAATTATAAAAGGAACATTAAAAGATTATTACCATGTCAGAAATTCAATTTTTTGAAGTAGATAAGAGGGTCTACATGGTCTAGTTAGAATAATCTGTGTCTCGGGACATATTTCAACGATAGAACGGTCTGTCCACAGGGGCTTGCTCCCGGCGTGTAATAATTATTTATTTAAAAAAAAATCATATACGTTAATACTAAAACTACACAAGGGAGGACGCCACTTTGGACCCCTTCCTCGCTTCAACCTCTGTTTTCGTTATATTTTCCTGTATTTTACTGAATCACCGCCTCGGGTCTGTCAAGTAATGATTCTTCTAGGACATAATGCTTAAATTTTCCCCTTGGAGCCTCTACAATACACATTTCAGACTAATAATAATCCAAACTCGCTCTTTAGGACAGTTGATAGGGACAGAAAACGAAAGTAACCTCGGTGTTTTACATTCGAATACGGAATTAGAACGCGTTTTTTTTTTTCAAATTTATAATTAGCAGCTGTGCTAACTAGTAGAAAAACCCCGAAATTTTCGAATGTGTTTTCGTTTTCTGTCCCTATCAACTGTCCTAAAGAGCTCCAAGGGGAAAATTTAAGCATTATGTCCTAGAAGAATCATTACTTGACAGATCTGAGGCGGTGATTCAGTAAAATACAGGAAAATATAACGAAAACAGAGGTTGAAGCGAGGAAGGGGTCCAAAATGGCATCCTCCCTTGTGTAGTTTTAGTATTAACGTATATGATTTTTTTTAAATAAATAATTATTACACGCCGGGAGCAAGCCCCTGTGATCTGTCTTAGAAGGGTCTTGTAAAATATTTTTACTTGTTTCATTTTTTTTTTAATTAAATTTCTGATTGCAGAATGAGATATTGGATAACTGACAACATACAATGATACATGATGTAACTGTCACTTTCTGAAAATGCAATAAAAAGCATACTCAGAATCCCCCTATACTGATAGCGTTAGGCTCAATAAAAAATAATGAACTAACCATAAATGTAAACAATAAACAGAACTTTCTGTTGCTTAGATCTCTGTATGGCTTCAGGTATACTTCCATTAAACCAGTTCATCTTTTTACACAGGTTTTAGACAGAATGATGAAGATCTTTAAAAAACGAAAGTAAAACCGGAAATAGAATCAGCATATTATGTTAACATTAGGACGTACAGATATTTTTCGCATGAACTAGCGGAAAGCGGTATATAAATCTACTTAACGCCGTACTCTCTCGGTTTTCTTCTGATATTCTTCATTCTTCTGTGCAGAATCGCTTCATACTTCTGCTTTGGAATACACTGACGCATACATAAATATGTCAACAATGTTACGTATAATATTCTAATTTGATTTCCGACTCCTGATTGTTCCTGATTACGATTTTTTTATTAATATTCTTAATTTCACCAAAAATTCGTTTCCAGCTACTTGAACATAATTGCTACGTTAAAGTTAGTTCCACATACATAGATATATCAACAATATATTGTATGGTGGTGACATCTGTCCAAAACGGTAAAGTCTAGTACTAAGTTATAGAAGTTGAAACCAAAAAACGGATACCGATTCATTAAACTGCTCAATTTGGTTCATAAATACCACCATTCATAATTTTTTTTTATATTTTTATGTTTATGCGAATTAAGTTCAACATAGTTAATAAGCCTAAAAAATTTTAACCGAATCTTTTCAGCGATGTGGAGAATATCAACCAAAAATCTAATCCAAGAGAGTCGGGAATCGGGAGTACTAGATTTACCACTTGCCTGAACTTGAATGGGGGGCTTAAAAAAATCGGGGCTGATATAGTCCCCAGACATTTTTAGCTCACATGAGCCGAAGGCTCAAGTGAGCTTTTCTGATCAAAATATGTCCGTTGTCTGTCGTTGTCGTTGTAAACTTTTCACAATTTCATCTTCTTCTCCAGAACTACTTCAATTTCAACCTTCTCCTTCAAGGGGAGATAATTCAGAAATAGTGAAAATTTGGTGACATGTTTTTGAAAATTCACTGGGCCAAAAGGTCGAAACTTGTAGGAAACCTTTACATAGTGTAGATTCAAGTTTGTTCAAATGATGAGCCATGGGGTGGGACCACAATGGGGGATCAATGTTTTACAAAGGAATGTATATGAAAAAAGTCCTTAAAATTTTCTGCTCAAGAACAGCAAAGTCATTTGTTATATTGATATGGAAGCATCGATCCTCAGATAGTTTTAAATTCAAGCCCCCCCCCCCACCCCCACCCCACCCCACCCATGTAAACTTTTCAAAACTGAACTGATTTGTGCTCTTTTTCCTAGCCAATGTGTGCTTAGGTGAGCGATGTGACCCACTGGCCTCTTGTTTTTGTTGGTTTAGTCCCCACCCACTTTCAATCCGACGCCTAGTTATATATATCAGAGAGTCATCAATACCAGACATATATATATTTATACCATATATCTGTATATATGTTGCCGTCAATACTCACCTATGTTATGATCAGCCATAGATGAACGCTGAATATATTCCAATTGTATTAGCGCCCTCTGAAGAACGACGGAGTTTTATTTATTTAACTAAGTATATCTTTTTTTATATCTTTTTTTTCAGTAACGTTAAGGACTTGGAATTTCTTGAATAAAATTCAAAATTTTAATTGGTCTTCTACAGTATGCAGGATGTTAAAAATTTACCAGTCTTTCGAGAAAGTAGTGGACTTTTGCGAGAAGCGCTGACTTTTACAATCGACGGCTTACTTTTACACTGGGACAATATACGGCAGCTTTCTTGCGATATAAATATTTAGCTTAACAGTTAATTAAATGATATTAATTGGGCATTTCAAAGCACATATTACGTTTTCTAGAGAGGGGAAGGATAAACACCCTGTACTTACCTCCCTCCTTTCCCATTTCACCAACTACTGCCAAGTTTTCATTCTGGAATGTTTTTTTTTCTTCCTTATTTGATTCCTTCATAAAATGAGATTAAATAGAAATACTATATCTCACACCATACCTATGACCACTATTAAGGTTTTCTAATCTAATATCAATTTCGTACCTCCGTACATGACACATGTTTTAATGTCAAAGTAAGTCGTCGAGTGTAAAAGTCAGTGCTTCTCGCAAAAGTCCAATAAGCACTCGAAGTTTTAATACTTCTATCGAGCGTCGGTCCGCCTGTTAAGTCGGTTATATTTTTTAAGTTTTGCCATTAACCCGTTTATAAGTCGATACAACTTTTTGCCGAAGTCAAGTCATTGCTCTAATATTTACGCGTATAAAATAGAATTGCAGTTAAGAGTTTTGTATAGATATAATAAATCAGTTACAGTATATCACTGAGGGAGTCAGAAAGATTCCAGTTCCCCAAAAGCAAGTCCATTTCCCGAGGCTAAGCTGTATATTACTAGTATCATAAGTATTACCGGTATATACCTGTGTGCATAAAATTTTGCCAAAAATATTCAAATCAAACAATTATATTTTTTGTAAATCTTGAATAAGAAAGTTCCTTCGATTTTAGCCTCAGATTTCCCAATTTTGCCTTTGGATTACCCATAAACCTATCATATAGAAGTCCATTATATGACTTATTGTAATATATATCTTCTTCTTCCATTAAATTGTGTACTGATCAGAGATGTCTCAGACTGCCATTTCGTACTGACACATGCTGGGTACAAGGAAAAGGAGACAAGTTTACAGTGCAGATATATACAGTATATCTCGGTGTTAAAAGCATTTCAATCGTAGTTCAACATATTGAAAAAAATTTAAATGGTGCCCATTTTGCTCATTCGCATTGCCACGCCACCTGCTGGAACTGTAATGGGTTTTGGAGAAAAAAACTACAAAAATTTGCAAATGTTCATAGAAAATGACTCTTGTATAACTCTGACAAAGGTTTAAAGAAAGTATAAAATGAACGGAGTTCACCTTTTAATTTCAGAATTTAAAATTTAAAAAATAGTTTTGACTTAACTAGAATCCTTTGAATTTTAATGAGAAATAAATCAGATGGTATCAATCTCATGAAAAACTACACCATTTCTCCATATGAGTGAATTAAACGATACCATCTTTACAACAGAAAGATTCTCAAGAATAGAGGGGAGGGACTCTTAAAATTTTGTATTTTCAACAATTTTAACCTTGCCTACGACAAAAATGGAAGGGGAGGTGGGGGGCTGAGAGGAATTTGTGCTCAATCTATTCTTCATCCTCATTGACTGTTACAATTAATTAATTACTGTTAATTAAGAATATCAGAAAACTAATACAGTCTTTCCCATACATTATAATGATCCACTCAAAATTCATTCATTAGATAATTATATACATATATTTTAATTCTCTAAGCAACTTCAACAGTTCATTACATGTTACACGTATGATGCATGTCAACAAAGCTGGGCATCTCAACATCATAGATCCAGTTAAATCAGTGTTACATGTATAATTAGCAGGAAAGGAATACACTGCATATTGTTTAAGCTGATGGTAATAATTCAGGTAAATATGTTTTAAAATCAATGAAACAAATGTCTATGTATTATGTATGTATCAAATAAACAATCTCCATTCCCTATCGAGTATATAATACTTTATTGAAATAAAGACATTTACAACGCAAAAATTTGTGGGATAATCAGACATTTACATTTACATGTAAACATTTTAAGGTTCATAAACCCTCTGCTCACTCATATAAAATATTGCTTTAACGCTTATGATTTTCCAAAAGAAATGTATTTGTTAAGTAAAATACAAACAATTATAGCATAGCTTGCAGGGCAAATTTGGGCAATAAAGACATTTCAACTGGAAAAATTTACAAAGGAATAATAGACATTTATGTCATTAAGAGTTATCTCTCTTATCAGAGTATCAATGAACCTTAAACATTTACATTTCTACATGATTGTCATTGTATATTTCAAAATGACTCAATTAAACTGGTAAATGTTACAGAGATGAAATGCTTTGCCTTTTCAAAATAAAGATTGACTAAAAGGGATGGAATTGATAGTCCATACCTATTAATGAACACAAATGTCTTTAAAAAAAATTGACAATCATGGCGGAATATGAACACAAACAGAAGTGTGGAATGTCTTATACCAATACTATAATATGTCCTTCATTTAGAACACAAATTTATCTTAATATTAAGATATTTATCTTAATACAAGGAAAGTCTTCAGATACACTTTACTATGGTCAAGCATACTCTAACAAAGCTTTGTTTCAACAGACCTTAAAAAGCTTAAAATATTATTCTATAAGAATACTGTTTTGTTTGAGATAATGCTATATCCATGCTCACTGAGATAGAGCATGTACATAGTATACTAAGTTTTATATGAGATAATTTTATTTATGCTCACTGAGATAGTGTGCTATAAAGTCGTACTTGTCACTGGCTAATTTCCCACACATGTTACAACAACGGATGTCCATTTTATCATGCATACTGCGATGAAGGTGATACATGGCTGCATCTTGGAATATAACACAACAATATTCACATTTGTACACATCATCCCTAGACATCATATGTGTAAACAGATCCTCATTGGTGAAATTAACAAGGCAGACTCTGGAGTTGGTGCCAATGGAAGAGTTATAAAGACTAGGTGAAGGTTTACTACTCAGGCTGTTATAGCGGGCTATTGATTTAGAATTCTTACTCATGGTAGGGAACAGCTGACATTTTTGTGGAGATGAAGACAGACTGATTTCTGAGCCTGACATGTTGCTCTCACTTGTAACACTGGCTCCATCCCCCATATCTGCCTCATCTCCTGAATCTCTTTGTGCCTCAGTGAAATTAAGGTCTTTGACATTGATCTTCTCTTGTTTTAATGTCTTTTTCCTTGGTCTTTTTGGTTTTGGTTCAGTGGAGCTGCTGGGTTCGGGAAATGATGCACTGTCTGGTGGTAGACTGATCCCATCCATGTCCAGTGATCCAGCGTCCTCTAGCTTCACGTGACAACTTTTGCCCACTTTATCTGTGCCATCTTCAGCATTGTCGGAGGATCCCACTGAACTAAAGTCTTCAATGCTGAAGTGGTTTACGATATTTGGTTTTCTCCTGTGGCTGGAAGTCACCAGATTTGCCTGGTTGCTTATATCTGTTTTATACTCAGTAAAATTCAGTCCAGAGAAACCTTCATGGAACTCAGCGGCTGACAGATCTGGGAGGGAGTTCTGTTGTTCGTTGTGAACTTCCCGGAGATGTTGTTCGAGGCGTTGTTTTCGACAGAATCCCAGGCTACATATGACACAGTAATACGGTTTTTCTCCTGTGTGTGTTCGTTTGTGCGAGTTCAGATGGGAGGACTGTGCAAATCTAAAAGGACAGCAAAAAAATAATAAATAATAATGAAAGCTTATGACTCAAAAAATAAACTGTATTGATAATGATAATATATATTTTTTACAAAAATCATCCATCATCCACAGAGATCAAATCAGAGATGTTACATATTTCTTGTGCTTAAACTTACTATATTAAATTCAAAATTATAAATGATTTTAACAAAGATACTTATATATTTTTAAAAATGACAGGTGAAAACATGATTGTTGTGTACAAAAGAATTGGTGCACTAACCTTTTCTGGCAGATGTGACAGGCGTAAGGTTTCTCCCCTGTATGGGTACGTCGGTGCGTTGTCAAATGAGCTTTCTGGGTAAATCTCTTGAAACAAACATTACACTGGTATGGCTTATTTGCCCCTGCCATTACTATTCCACCAGAGTCCATTCTGATTATCAAACAGCTCAGCAGTATATATGATTTAAAACTAAAAAAAGAATCAGAGCTTTATCATGATTGATTATATAAAAATATTAATTTCAAACTATATTTTAAATTAAATGTTTACAATTATGTATATAAAACAACATGTAGTACATATATACATGTATATAAAAAAAAGATTTTCAACTGCTCAAAATGTTGCCGTATCTTGTGGGCCCTATTGTTTACCGTTTAGTATTTTTGAAAAGTTTAAATCATGTACATCAAAAAAATATCAAGATCAACAAAATAAAACCTTTAAAAGCCTTAGATCAATAAATTATTTAGATTGTTATATTTTCATAGTCTTCATTTACAATAGCAAAGGAGGTGTTAAAGGCAACAGTAGACCCATCAGGGCAGCCATTTTTAGCCCAAGAATTTGCCAGGTTTTGATTAGTTTGCCTATTTTGCTTTTGTTTATGAATAATATGAATCTAGCATTCATATGTAAAAGAATTGATTTAAATTAAACCTAAAATTGAACTTTAACATAAGTAAATGGGTACTACTAAACAGAGTACGGTAGAGTACAACAGAGTACTTTAGAGTACGCTGGTAAAATTTAATAATTTAATGCAATTAGATTGTTTATTTATATACATGCATACAGCTTAACTAAACATTACTATAAAATAATATTGCAATATTTGTCTCAAAATTTTGTTTTTTAGTGATATTTTCACCAAAAAATTGAAGATGGCATCCTGATCCCAATTATTATTTGTTTTCGATAAAATATTGAGCGACATATTACATCGATGACTACTTTCTCTGAATATAATTCAATTTATTCAGAGATTTACTTGTTTTTTACATAAATATTCTCGAAATCAGTATCACAAAAAAATAATAATAATACAAGTTAACTCAAAAAATAGTTTTACTAATAATTTATAAATGAATTTAATTTCAATATCAAATAAATAATAATGTACATGTAAGTTACTTCAATGAAAAATACCTATGTAAAGTGTACCCTCAAACAAATTTAAACTTAAAAAAGACAAGAGAATGAGCCATTATTTTGGTGCACATAGAAGTAAAATGTTCTATTATTAGATCGGGATCAAACTGAAATGATAAATCGAAATAACTACTAAAATAATGAAAACATACACATATTATTCAAGATATATATTTAATATATTAAACTAATTTAAAGTAGAAACACATACAAAAAGCAGTTTATTTGCATTGAATTATAAAATTTTACCAGCGTACTCTATCGTACTCTAGCGTACTCTGTTTAGTAGGACCGTATGTAAATATCAAATGAGATTGAAGTATAAAGTATTGAATAAAGAGTAGTTTTAAGAATAATGCTGGATCTGGTTCATATATATGCTAATGACAGAGTTGCAATTTCTATCTTTGATATACTGAACATGAAGAAAAAAAGCTATGGATTGGTTCAGAGTTTTTCTTTAGATCTTTGTTCTTTACCATGTTTAATTTACAACCTTAGGATTTGCAAAACATTTATGCACTTCAATTTACTTTTGTATGTGAACATATTTAATGCACATTGGACAATCATTTGCATGATTAGAGGGACAATTTATGAATATACTGTAAAAATATTGTTTAATAGACACGATAGAATTACAAATAAAAATATGCTAATTAATTGCAATATTTTAACTGTTTCACGGTAAAATATCCGATTTATACGCATTTAAAAAGTGATTGCAAATATTGAGTAAAAATACACAATTATTCAGCTTTATTTACGTAACCCTCTGATCGCAGGAAGTAAATTATTTGTAATTATTTTCCAAACAAAAAATCTATTACAAGTCCTGTTTCACCAAGGATGTATAGGGCTTCTTTTTTTTTTTTTAAACATAAATGGATTTCAATGAACTCATGATCAATCAGTGCTTTATATGAACTCTTTTTACTGTCATACTCTGCATATATGGATAACTAACATTCATGGAAATCATCTGATGTTGTCGTTTCCTATTTTCAGTTTTTGTTTACACCCCAAACGCCACCATATTGAATTTGTAATACACAAACTGCACTACGGTACAGATCTAATCCAATCCGGAAAAAAACATTTCTTTCTTTTCTTTCTTTCTTTATTTATTTATTTGATTTTATCTTATTTTATTTATTTATTTATTTATTTAATAAATGTATTTTTTAAACTTTATCATGTTTATCTGCACAAAAAAAAGAAGAAGCAAAATCATTGATGTAGAGAAAAAAAGGATAATAGGATACAATTGAAATTTTATTATTACGCAACACAGGCACTTGTTTCTGTAATAAATTTTTGACCCATAGTATAATATGGGTCAAAAATTTATTACAGAAACATGTGGAAGTGTTACGCAGCCCTGTTTCTCTCTATAAATTGTAAAATTTTTATCATCGTTTTAAAAATACATTTTTTGTGTGTGTGTGTCAGATACAGAAAAAATATTTCAAATTTTTTCCAATAAATATGAAGATAACGAACAGTAATCAAGCTCAAAAGTCCGTTGGAACAAAAACAGATAGGCAGCAGAGCAATCACGGACCTCTAAAGACATCAGAGGTGGAATCAGGTGCCATAAAGGAAAAAGCATCCCCTGTCGACCGGTACGTCACACACGCCGTGTGCTCATTGTCATTACAGGGCAAACGGAAAAATCTTTAGATAAATCAGTGTGAATATAATGACCCAACAATTTGTATAAAAAACGGCAGTTTAACGGCAGATTGTAATTTGTTAACAAGGTCATTGTATATATCGATCATAGAATATGCAAAATGTTGACTTTAAACGAGACTGTTGATATCCTTATACCACACTTATTTATCAGTAGCCTGCCTCGTTTTAGAAATTGTTCATGATAGAAAAGTTGAGGTTGAGGTCATCACTTTTATCATAAAGTTTAGTTGTTAGTTTGCAATTAATGTCTTTTTCTAGTAAAACATCCAGATATAAAACAGATGTGTCAGACTCTGTGGTGTCTTTTATTTCGAGTTCAAAGGGATATTTCGAATCAAAATATGAATGAAGATGAATGCATGTATTGTTAATTAATTGATAAAACGTCGTCGATATATCTAAATGTCGAATTGAAGGCCACAAGCAAGAGACTTCTTTTTATGTTAAAGTTAAAAAAAATAATAATAAATTCTGCTTCGTATGTCTACTTATAACGGGTGCAATTAGAACCTATGGGAATTCCATCAGATTGTTAGAAGGCTTGATCCACACACACACACACACACACACACACACACACACACACACACATAGATATTGTCAACGAGAAACTCAAGCATTTTTGTAATATCATTCAACTTCTGAGTATTTGTGTGTACAATCAGAATGTTTTTAACAAAATAATTTTGCAGATGACCAATGGAAAGGTACGTAAATCTACGAGATCCATTTTTCCTTGTACAGAAATAGATGGAATGTTCGTGAAAAAGATAAATGTCCTACGGATCCGGTGAGGGCCTCTCCCGAGGCACAGATTATTCTTCCTAGAGAAATCAAACCCACCTTTAATTTACATGCATCACATTTACAATGTCAAAGATCATCAATCTAATACCTATCGGGAATAGTCGTATATAGCATCCGGGATGACTGCCAAACCTGATTTGATTTCAAATTGCTTTTCAGTCATTCTACGATAAAAGGACCAATTCAGGGTATAAAACATAAAAAAAATATAGTTGTTTCAAGTAGCAAAATCAACATTATAATTCTCTAAAGGACATATCAGTGAACTTAAAAAAAATTGTCCACAAAACTGCAATCATTAACTTTTTACAACAATTTCAATATACCATTGATTTTAAGGTAATGTTACGGAAGTACATGCTTGAACAAGTCTTATTATTTTTTTTAAAATAAAGTTAATTCGACCAATTTTTTATTTTCTGATGTTCAGTATAGAACACTAAAGTTTGATTCATGAAGTCTTGCATGAATCCGAAATTAAATTAAAATTTCGGGAAATTATATCGTTACAGAAGTTAATTTCCAGCAATGAAAGTTAAAATTCTCGGCAATATTTAAAATTAACGTTTGTTTTAAGATGTTAATCAAAAGTATGAAGCATTTCGCTTCCAAAATAATAAAAAAAATTATACCTGCATTAAAATTCCTGAATTACCGTTACGGAAGTTAAATTTTTAAGAGAGACAACTGTTTTTGTCTAATTTATTTGTTATGTTGAAAATGTAATGGTCTAAAATAGCTGTAGCCCTTTTCACAAAAAATCTTAGGACTAAGATTAAAATTTTCCAATTCTTCTGCATGTACCTAAATTGAAGTATGTTACAAAAAATCTTATATTTCTATTACATTACAGTATATTGAGAATTATTCTTCTGAAAAAATAATTTTCTTTATTAAACAAAGAAATTACAGAGTTGTAAAATTTTAATCTTACTCGTAAGAATTTTTGTGAAAAAGGCTACTGACTCGCAACTAGAATCGATAATAGTAAGTCCCACGGTCACTTTTAGATAAGTTTCAGTTCTTTTTGAAATCTGCATTCTAGGCGTGCAATTTAAAACAAAATCGTTACGGAAGTTAAATGATTTTCAGCGACGTCATGATTTCGTATGAAATAAGATCCATGCATTTCTTTGCAAGAAGTGGTTTGTTTTCTTTTTATGTAGGAAAAAAAAAGTTTTTCAAAATTCATTGCAATCTATTCGAAACGCTTATACAGCTGAAAATTTCATCTTGAAATTTGTAAATGAATGGAGCGACATTTAGATTTACAGTGGAATACGTTTTTCAGCATTACATTGTGTTCATATCAAAACTTTAACTGCATATATACATGTATCGGTAAATATTTACAACATCATGTGTGTATGTGAAGTCTTTAAGTTGAAATCGATCTTTAAAATTATAGTCAAGATATTACAAAGGTAAATTTGTAAGCGACATAAAAAAATTCTTAATTGGGCATGTTTTTATAGAATGGCTGTTTTATGTCACCCAGAACGAAGTTGAATGAATACAATGTCATTGTTCAGCGCTTTATTTCTTTTTCTTCCACGTAATTCTGTCCTCAAGAGTTCTTGCAGATGTCTTTCACAATCTTTGAAACTTTATAGAAGCGATAATCATCAAGTTTACTGCAAATACCATTTGATTAGGTTGAATATTGACTGATGTATTTCATACATTGTTAGGTCATTATTTTCAAACTAAATTATCTACGGAATTTTCCATTAACCGGATCATGACAAGGACACACGGCAGGTGCATGGGCAGGTAGTCAGGGGTTGCTTACTCCTCCATGGCACCTGATCCCACCTCATATCCGTGTTGACTCCGCTCAAAATTTGTATTGTTTAAATGGATTTTTGGGCATTGTTGCTGTTCGTTATCTTCAATTTTTTCCTCAGTTTTCTTATAGGTGCGTTCAGATATATTTCTGGTATTTCATAAAGAAGTATTTTTAAAAAAAATCAGTATTACATCACTGTGGGTGTTGCAAAGAATTATCATAATTTCAACATAGATGCATTCTTAATATGAAGAAAACTATGCATCGATAAGGAGTGCTGAAACCATAACATGCAAGCGCGTAAAACTAACAACGAACATTAATTATATACATGTATAACGAAATATAAATTCCTTAATTCTTAATTTGCTGTTTTGCAATCTGTTGTTTATCGCTTATTTATTTTATGGGATTGATTAATACAATTCATCATGTGTGTGCTTTCTAGGGAACATTTGCATAATTCTATATAAAAAATTGTGATGAATTGCCTAGGCGAATTAACGAAAGCACACAACAAAGGTAGTTGCCGATTGCTTGTAGCAAAAATGTCTGTCGCAGAGACTTTTTCCTCGTCGACCATCTTTCTGAAGATCTGCATGGTGCTGGTCCCTCTGCAGACTTTACTGTATATCATTGGGTTCTCCAGTAATTACTGGGTTACTCAGAAGCAGCAATTTCTAAATAACGAAATAAAATCAAACGCAGGATTATGGGAGATGTCATATTGTTTGTTGAAATTCTGTCAGACTGGAGAAATGAATTCAGTGCCAGGTAAGAAAATGTAATTACAATTTATAAAATGATGCACAAATACTGGCGTATGGACAAGTGACCTTGGGACGTCAATTATATATACAAAAAGATGTTCATAATGTTACAATGTGAAAAAAAAAGTTTGTCAGGTTGTATGAATTAAACTGAATAGAGTACGAACGTATTTGAAAAGTAACAATTATTTTGAATTGTCTTAGAACATAAGGTATTGATTGTGTCTCAACTCTCGGTAAACATGCAGGCAAGTGATAAACATTTGTGTAAAGGGGATTTGAAAATTTACTTTTCTGTATCAGAGATTTTAAAATAATTTACATAATTATTTACTACTGCTAAAACTAACTACATTGAAATAAATTAATGCTAAAACACCCACAGGCATTTATATTGACAGAAATATTGGACTCAGCCTTGCGATTTTAGTTCCCAATGGATCCCCTATAAATTCCTGATCGAATATTTATCCTTTATTGTTGGAAATTTCTGTCCAAGAAAGACGTATTGATTAACACCCTGTGTCCTTGATAATGAAAATTTGACACCTGAGTATAAAAAAAAGTTCAAGCAAAGAAGATGCCACTCCTGAAAAAAGAAAAAAAGTACTGGAACAACAAATATTCTAAGTACATGTATATACGTACAAAATAAATACCTTAAAGACTAAAAAATCTTAATTTGCAAGTAGAATGTCCTAAATGATGAGCTCAATAACAGTTTTAAAAAAACGGATGTAAAAATTCTTCCAGGGAAAAGCCCCGTCTCTTTACGATTGATCATTTTTCAGTGGGAAACTATGGTAATCATTCGACCAGAGTTTATCTGATAAATATTCAGAAGTAAGGAAGAAGATTTTTGAAAATATCCGTTGCATTAATTTCAAAACTTGGAATAACCTGGGGCTTGAAGTATTATTACAGTGGAATGTAAATTTTGAATAAATAAATAAATACTTTACCATAAGCCACAGATCCGAGGCCCAAGGCCAGTAAAATTTGGGGGTGACCAGTAAGGTAAATCAAAAGAGGCCGAGAGGCCTGCAGTGAATTTTTTACATACCCCATTCCCAATGCTAAAAAGCAGGTATTTTCCCCAAGTTTTTGCTTTAAGGTAGTCCGATCCTTAAGTTCTGAAAATCAGCTTTTCAGTAATTGAAAAAGCTCACAAAAATGTCTGGAATTTCACAGAATAACGTGTATTTATCCATGGTATTTCTTCAAATTTCCTCAGTAAAGTTAATCATATTATATAGGAAAAATTATCAAATCTCAAATATATTTTCAGTAAATGTGAATTAAACCACCAGCTATGGATTTTCTTATTGAAAACTGATCAACAAATATATTTTTGGATTCAAAATTATAGGTATCAGGGCATTTGGAAAAAATTGCATGTTTTGCACACTTATACAGTATTTAAGTTCTTCTGTTTACTTCAATTGTTAAAAAATACATAGTGTAAAAATTTTGTGTTATCATTGCAAGACATCCCAGATCGCTTCTAATTTCATATCATTTTTATAAGACTTGGGATCTAAGGCTAGATTAGAGGAAATTTGATTTCTCTGAAAATAAATTATTTTTGTACTTTTGTGGGATACAATGTCAACTTTTTATAATATCATTTCTAAGACTTCAACGAACATTTGAAGACTTTTTAAACTAAATAATAGATTTAAGAGTTATCGTTCCTATCTGAGGATCGGATACCCGGTATCCTTAATAATCCCAACAAATGAAAAAAGCAGATGTTTTTATTTGTAAATTTCCTTCATCTAGTCCATTTGGCAGTACTGCATGATTTAGTATGTTACATCTTCTTCATATTTGGACGTTTTACTGACTATAGACGATAAGGGCCTACTAACAACTACATACTGTAAATTGTTTGACAAACGAGATGACCAGCTTTTCCATCGTCAACTTTCAGAATTTGTGCAATAAAATTCTGCTGTCACCTGCATATGGTGTTTATTTGATGCTCAAGAACATACACTGAGTTCTATCAATTTTTAAACTTCTGATAAACAAGTTACAGGGATTTCAATAACTTTGTTTAAATAAGCGTTTAGTAAATTCTATGGTCGTTATAATGACTATAATAGCATATACAATCTATCATTGGATCGTATTTTGACTTACATATTTCATACCAAATGTTGGGTCTTTGTTTTATACCATATTTGACTACGGAATATTCCGTCTACCTGATCAATACCTAGGACTCACGACGGATGTGACCTGTCGACAGTGGATGCTTACTCCTCCTAGACACCTGATCCCACCTCTAGAATTTCTGGGGGTCGTTGTTTAATGCCCTGTTGACAGATTTTATTGTTTGTAGGTTTTTATTTTTTTTTAAAGATCGATCACTGTTCATTATCACCACCTTTTTCATCATCATAATGCCTTAAAACGATCGTCTTCGTTCTGAATCCAAATTTCCTTCATTTTTCTGTTATATTCAAAATATGTGTAGAGTTACCATAAGTAAGTCAGTAAGCAAGAAAGTAAATTTTATCTAAAGTCGGCATTTTGTACATAAATACAGTAACAAATATCGTGGGCTCTGTAAAGTTCTTAAACCGATCACGGATAAAAGATCACAGGAAACAAATATATTACAAATGTCCAGCATGATAAACACACATACACATATATAACACAAACATAGTAAATAAAAAAAAACATATAAAAAGTCCAATGATTAATAAAGAAAAGGAAAATTTGCAACAAAAAGTTTTTGCTTTGAAAAAAGAAAAAAAAAATATTTGAAAAAAAGATTAAGCACTACTTTCAACCAAAGAAGTCTTATTAAAAAGCACTTATTGTAGTAATAATGGAAGTTTAAGAAAAGCCTTGCATGTGATTGCGCCAGTCCCTACTTACATTGAAAGATCTGTGTTGTTACAGAATTGTTATTGAAATTGTATTGTAATTGTTATTGGGTGAGGGCAACATAAATAAAACAAAAATATATTAATTAAAAGAAACCAAAATCCTGGAGAGCTTACACTTCTGCTAAAATAGAATGTTACTCAAGAAGTTTCAGCCCCCAGGATCCCTATTAATTATTTGAAATTAAAAATTAAAAAATTAAAATTAAAAAAATACATATTAAGTTTAAAAGAAATGAAAATGAATGTAAAAACTAAAAAAGACCATTTTTAGCAAAATCAAAACAATTGCGGTTTCTCGCTTTCGGTATAGTAGTGCAATTATTTATGGCATATTGTAACTGCCTTGTCTGTGTGTCCTGAATAAATGAGGACACCAACGCAAAATTATACAAATCAACCATTTTAGGTCATCTGAGTCACTCGCTTCATTATTCTTGTCTGTTATTATGAGTCGTGTAATGTCTGTAGGCATTTGAACATGAACTGATAATACTGTAGACGAGGAACGTTGATGAAGATGACGCAACCCTGTGCTGCTGCGCATGATGTCACGGGTGGTCTGCCAGATTTTTGCTCATTAATTGTTGTACCATGCTGGTGGTGTTTGTTTTCTGGCGAGAAATGGTGCTTTGAGCAACATTAAAACCTCTTGCGAGTACTGTACACTTGCTTTCAGTTGCTCAATAGTGTTTTGCATCATTTCTTAAACAACGTTTTCATTCATAGATTAAAAAATTGAAAGTCGAGAACTCCTGCTTCTGATAGTTTCAATATGTATACCTGAATCATGTGAATCAGAGGCCAGCGAAAGTAGTGTTACATGTACAAAGACCGAATTCTGGCACCATACAAAGACAGGTTTTATTCTACGTACGTTCTTTGGGATGACTGTCAAGTTAACATTAGCGTTAAAGGTTACAAATTACATGTATAAACGAATGAATCGTATTCGGCTAAAATAAATTGTATGAAAAAACTATACTTTATTATTTCGAAATTCCTAACACTAATAAGAACACTTTATTAAAGGTTGATAACCTCAGCTTTTGAATTTTTCTTATGCAAGACACTTCATAAATGTACCTTGTAGAATTTGGAAGAATAATACAACTCATATTGGCGGAACTGTCATGGCTTTTTATTACAAATTACATTCACAGTTAACATGCCACTCGCATGTTCATGCCCTATGCGCCGATCTTACCACTTGTAAGCTTTTGGCAGCATAGCATTCACAAATATTAAACAAACCATATCAGAGCTGGGGGACCTGGAGACAACAGTATCCCTCAGCAAATGGTTACTTGTCAAAATTGCGCTAACACAAAACAGTCAGGATTATCACATTCACAGCGAAGTCCACAGTATTCTTCATCAGTATATAAGCCAAGACGATTTCTGAAATTGAAAGAAAGCACACAGCAGAAAAGGAACCAAAAACATTTATTTAATAAATTTAAAAACTCAAACCAACCATAATATTTAAGGGAGGGAAGGGAGGGGATTTCGTCTGCTCTGAACAAGATGGGGAGTTGAAAAGACCTAGCGCATGCTCATTAATGCTGATGTATTATTAACCATAGAATCGTCATGATAGGACCATATAATTCCGGAAAACGGGTTGCTCTTTGTAAGCAATACGTAATTTCAAAATAGAAAGCAATAAGCGTCATTCTCAATAACTGTATTTATCTTTTAGGGATAAATCTGATTATTTCGAAATTCCTAACACTAATAAGAACACTTTATTAAAGGTTGATAACCTCAGCTTTTGAATTTTTCTTATGCAAGACACTTCATAAATGTACCTTGTAGAATTTGGAAGAATAATACAACTCATATTGGCGGAACTGTCATGGCTTTTTATTACAAATTACATTCACAGTTAACATGCCACTCGCATGTTCATGCCCTATGCGCCGATCTTACCACTTGTAAGCTTTTGGCAGCATAGCATTCACAAATATTAAACAAACCATATCAGAGCTGGGGGACCTGGAGACAACAGTATCCCTCAGCAAATGGTTACTTGTCAAAATTGCGCCAATTGGATTTCAAGCATAATGAAATCCAACCGCCATCAAAGCGGCTGAATTTTGAC